GTCAGCTTCCTGCGAATTTCCGGCAGCGTTTTGTTTCTCCATGTGCAACGATTGTTTAGTCACTAATTCTAAAGGTATAGTCCATCATTTGTTATTTGTGCATTTTGTTCGTTTGAAGCAACAAACGTACTCAAAATCTGAAGAAGGGTGCTGAACAACTAACCTGATGAACTTTCAGCTCAGCTTCAGCTGTATATTCCGAGAAAAACAGCATTCTAGGATCTCAGTTTCAAATAAACGGTCAAACCCCTTTGAAATTGTGCTTTGTCAGTCCAGCGTCAGGATACACGTATGCTGAGGAACGTTGTTTTAAAACAGTTAGACACAAACACACAAACTTTTTTTTGTTTTTCTTTAATGACATCCATTGATAAATAAGTGACACTACTTGACTTGTACAAGGGGCTCATCTTAGCATCATAATTTATTAGGTGCTACATTTTTGGGCTCCTTTCGTTCGCTCTGTAAATGTAATAAATAATAGCGATGAGGTTTACACCTGATAACGACTTGAAGATCCCGCACTCGACCTCACTCAAGTAAAGGTACAGTCGGTCGGGGGGAAAATCGCCAAAAACAACAACTAATAATGGGTATTTTTCTAACGAGATCATTACATTGATATCTTAATTTCTGGTATGGAATGTGCTTTTCAGAAACATGAAGACATAGTGGCAAGACTTTGTTACTCATTTAATGGCTCCAGAGTTTGATCCATTATATATCTTTAAACCTTAAAGCTTTAGTCCATCATTTGCAGCTATCCAAAAAGTAACTGGCGTAATTATTGTTGAATAACATACTTGGTTGAAAGATAGTAAAGGAACTAAACTGCCTGTGAAATTATTCTTTATGGTATGCTGTCATTTTAAAGAAATCAACTAAAAAAATCCTTTCCAACGGTGCTTCTTAAGACGCACCGTAGGAAATTTAAATTAGTAGTTCGTTTTGTAATTCGTAATGTAACGCGCTCAAGCATTGACACGACGCACACGCGCGTGCGGTTGCTATTATTCGTCGGATCATTGCGCGACATGGCGTAGCTTTAATTTGCTCAGTGAGAACGTGTATCGGACGCTGAATTCAGGCCCAATTCAAGACAAGATTCAGCAACTTTTGATTTGATATCGAGATCCCAGAATGCTGTTATTCTCAGAAATACAGCTGAAGCTGACCTGAAACTTCACCAGATTAGTTGTTCAGTACCCTTCTTTAGATTTTGAGCACTTTTGTTGCTTCAAAGGAGCAAAATGCACAAATTACAAATGAAGGACTATACCTTTAAGAGTATGTACTTAAAACTGAAAGTGCATGTACATCGCTGGTGGGGTCCGCTCATAAGTCCGACGCCTGATAGGTCCGACGCCTCATAAATCGGACTTAAAAAATGAGGCGTCGGTCTTATGAGGTGTCGGATTTGTGAGGGATACAATTTATTCATCCCGCCTCATAGGTCCGACGCCGCATAAGTCCAACGCCTCATAAGTCCGACGCCTCATAAGTCCAAAACAGCGTTTGTCCATTGTCGGACTTATGAGGCGTCGGACTAATGAGGCGTCGGACCTATGAGGCGGAATTTATGCCTCTCAAGTCCGACGCCTCATAAGTCCAAAATTTCGGACTTACGAGGCGTCGGATTTATGAGGCATACAAATTTATTCATCCCGCCTCATAGGTCCGACGCCGCATAAGTCCGACGCCTCATAAGTCCGACGCCTCATAAGTCCAAAACAGCGTTTGTCCCTTGTCGGATTTATGAGGCGTCGGACTAATGAGGCGTCGGACCTATGAGGCGGAATTTATGCCTCTCAAGTCCAACGCCTCATAAGTCCAAATTTCGGACTTATGAGGCGTCGGACCTATGAGGCGTCGCACTAATGATACAGCCTCTCGCTGGTAATACAGGACCGCGCGCAGAACGGATAACTGTTCACCTCAATCTGTCACACCAGAATTACACAATCAAAGGGCACCGTTGTATATAGTACGTACATTGGAGAAGCAATTTGTTTTTGGTATGAATAAATTAAATACTGTTTTTTTTTTCACGTAACATGCCAAAGTTGCATCAAGACATAATGTTTAAAATATGGCGTTCTGAACAACCGAAGGTTTACCCTACCTTGTGCAGTATAGGCGTAGCCAGCGGGAGGGTAAGGGGGTATTACCCCCCCCCCCCCAATATTTTGTAAAGACTGCCTTTTTCCATTCAAATGCTTTTTTTCAACGGGCTTACCCCCCCCCCCCCAATAATTTGTAAAGAGTGCCCTTTTTTTACGAAGTGCCCTTTTTTCTGAACAAGTGCCCTGTTCAAAAAGAAGTGGTGCCCTTTTTTGTGGCATCTGCCGTCTTGGGTGCCTTTTTCAGAATTCCGCACATGTATCGCCCTGAAAAGCACCATATATCAGCCCTTTGTGTGCATTATTGTCGGTTGTGAACAGCGCCCCCATCAGTCCCCATCAGGCACCAGTCCCCCCCCCCCCCCGCGCTTTTTGATTTTACGGAGGCCAAGTGTCTGGAGAAAAAAAACCTGTTTGGTTGGCGTAGCGGTACTTTCCTCGCCTTCCACCGCTGTGACCCGGGTTCGAATCCCGCCTGGGCCAACATGTGGATTGGGTTTTCAGTCCCTACCTGATTCCGTGGGTTTTCCCTAGAATATTCCTCAGGGGTTTTCCTCCCACTTCTAAAACTGTCATTTCTTCTCATTGTCTTTTCTCTTCAGGTTTCTTCAGACTTGCAAGCTGCAGTGCTTAGGGTGCTTTTGAGGAATCGTTGGTTTCATTACCAGAAATAAAATAATAATAATGATGATAATAATAATTTCACAACGGATGTGCAGGTGCCCTTTTCAAAATATTTTAACCCCCCCAATAAAAATGACAGTGCTACGCCCCTGTTATTGTAAATTGAATTTCTCAAGAAATCATTCAAGCGTATCTTTCAGTCATATGAACGACTAACAGTAGGGAGAACTTTTTTGCCGGGGCTATAGACGTTTGGGAGAGGCTCGGCTATTGAAACAAGGAGTAATGTCTTTAATAAGTGGCGTTAAGTGCAGAACTTACAGCGCGGAAACATCAGACAGGTGGATCAAATACGACAAGACTAGTGAGGTACGGTGCGGTGACGTCTACGGATTCGGACGTCTCTGTAACCAAAGGTCTCCGTAACTTCCATGGATCTCACTTGGAACACATCACCAAATCTCAATAACTATCCTAATGATTGTGTCAAGTGGGACGCGTAGCCTATCGTCGCTTTGCATTCTCATGACACGAAGTGACAAAAACCTCGAAAATCGGTATTTGTTCGATTTTGAGTTTTACTAGCGTTTTTATTTATGTTTATATGTCTCAACGTTGAGAGACGCCTTCAGGCCAGATAGCCACGCAGGATGCTCCATCATTCACATGGAAGAGGAGCATGTTTAACTGAAAAATAGTCGAGAGCAGCCACACGAAGATTAGGCCGATCTTGACGCGTTTGGCGGAGAACCAGAGGCGGTACTTAGCGGCGTGGCAGACTGCTACGTAACGGTCGGATCAGATGAGCACCAGGCTAAAGGTGGAATCATTTGCGAAGCCCCAATACAATACCCGCTTCCCGCGGAAAAAAAGTCTTTCTAACGAAAGTTAATTGTGGATTTTTACAACTAATGACAGAAACGCACCGTCAACAAGAAAATTGGTATAACTGAATTTCATAACAATTCTCTATATCTGATCATCGGCTTTAAAAACAAAATAGTGTTTTGCAGCAAGAGTAAATGTATATATATATATATAAAAATGTATTATGTTTTTTTCATTCCTTCGTGTCAAGTTGGATTGCTCGCAAGGATGACGCAGCGGCAGGGATAACTTCTTCGGGCGCACGCATCCATCATAAATGACATATCGCCGCTTGCGTATAGAAGCCACGCCACTCATCAGACAACCCTATGGATTTGTACGTTAAGTTTTGTTGTCTGGGATTTTGCGCGTTCCGGTTCCGCTGGTTCATAATGTAATTGGACAATATTTCACAAGCTGCGTTGATGCGATTCTACCACGATAGGTACATTGTAGCCTTCCCTGCCCGTAGTAGCGTGAAAACAAATCTGGCAATCTTGTTAACCCACCATGCTAATGTCAAAGCACTCAAATTGCCATGCTTCCTCAGGCGAATAATCCTTCCGCAGATCTCTTAAAAACTGCCAATAGATCGCTCCTTTATATTTCATTTGGAGATGGATCTTTTGCTTACGTTGGTATTGTCAACAGACGATGCGATGGGTATTAACGTAGAACGAGGTTTATCTCCATAATACTTTTTCCCCTTGCGACATTAATGTTCTGTGGTATATATTTTAAAGAAGGGGGGTTGTTGGCTCCGATCCCTTTTTATTTGTAAATTGACCCAGATCCTCCAGAGTGACTGACCCAATAACATACACACACAAGGGGGGTTGATTGACAATGTAATTTAATTCTCAATCTCAGTCAACCACCATGACCACAAAGTGGCAAGAAAGAAAGAACCCTATGTGTAAAACATAAAAGATTATAAATTATGTAATCAGTTTTGTAATGAGCAAGTACATGTATATTTATAAGTACATGTACCAAAAGGCCATAAAACTTCATTGACCACGCTTGCAAATGCATGGTTAAAAGAATACCAGGCAGCAACAAATTATGACAAGCAAGCATTGTGCCATGAAAACTATCAAATCAAGCGAAGGCACGCAAAGCGTGACATAGGCTGCACGAGGTAGGCTGCATGTTTGCTCGTACCCCCTGCCCTGCAAACAGGGCGCTGGGATACTCTGATGAGCTTCACAGAATCTTGTAAAGGAAGTGGCCTATGACCTATGTATGGAGCCTCTGGCTGCAGCTGTTCAAGACCGCAGTCAGACAATGTGCGCAAATGCTATCCGAAAACTTCCCGTAGAAATGCGTACATTCCATACCGGATGTGATTTCTGTTTCATTGCGGACCGTGTGGACAACATTTTGAGCGTCGCATAATGCAATCCGACCATGATCCGACCGTTCGTGATTCAAAACGGAGCATGAGCAAGTGATGGGAAGTTGTACATTTACAACATAAAAGATAAGTTTTACAGAATTTCCTTCATTATTACGCTTTTCAACGAAAAAAAAAATATCTCTAAACTGGAATGAAAGAGTAAATGACTCCGTCTTAACGGCCATTTCAAACCTTGCAGAGTCATGACCGTGATGACGCTCAGGTCAAAGGTCACGCGAAATCCAGCCAATGCAATTTGCCATCCGATTAATCTTCATTTGAATGGAAGCATCAAGTAGTACCTCAAGTGGTCCGTGCACATCGCAAGCACGGCCGGGCGCTTGATCTTTCTTCAAACTGTCTCCTTAGGTGCATGTCACTGCGTCAGCGTTTAATGTACGTGAAGTGATGGGAGTGCCTCAAGTATTCGCGATTTTATTATGTGCTAGTCAGTATGTGCTAGTCGAGTCAACTTGCACCTGAGGTGCATAAAATAGTGCCTCAGGTGTTCATGATTCTGGGACAAAGATGTGCTAGTCAGTATGTGCTATAGTAAACATGTGCTAATAGAGCCTCAGGTGTTCATGATTCTGGGACAATGACGTGCTAGTCAGTATGTGCTATAGTAAACATGTGCTAATTAATAGAGCCCCGGGTGTTCATGATTCTGGGACAAAGACGTGCTAGTCAGTATGTGCTATAGTAACTATGACTTTGTGCTAATTAGTGCCTCTGGTGTTCATGATTCTGGGACAAAGATTCGGGGACAAATATCCGCTAGTCCACAAGTGCATGCGCAGTGAATTTTTACAGCGTAGACTATATGAAGTTTAAAATTTAAACATGCCTCAGCCTGCCACCAAATGCACTCATGTATGCATATCTGCTGAGTATAACCATGGCGTTTGCGGGAAAGTAACAAAACAGATGACGATATTGTTTAATTAAGATTAAAAGATAGGTATATATTTTACTAATCAATTTCAACACAATGTATAGTCTAAATTTGTTGCCAAATGCTCTTCAACCGAAGTAATTATGTCTCATTTTTAACGGGGGGGGGGGTTGCCCTCTTTAGAAAGCTCGCGTTTTTCATTCATCGCTGACCTTGCCCTGAACCTTACCCGATTGCCGATTATGCACTATACAAAACGAAGAGCTATTATGGTATCATCACGCCAAACCCTGGCTTTAGCCCGAGATCCGAGAGATTGACATTTTATGCACTTGTACATACCAATAACGAAAACCAGATGACCTTTTATACGCGTCACTGTGGTGGATATGAACTTTAGGCTTGACCCAACAGACTCAAATATTACGGGACACTTGGATATTTTCGGCAGATGGTTGTCTTCTGCACTGCATGTACATGTATATCTCTTGAAATGTGAAGGGTTTTACAATGTAGACATTATATTTTGTTATGTGGGCCAAAAGAAATGCAAAACATGCTTCTATTGTTAGGATGCCTGGCGGTTTTGCCTGTCGGCGTGACGTCATAATGAACAAAGAAAAGAAAAGACATGAATACATCATTGTGTGCTAATGTAAATAATATGCATCACTGGCACTTTCGGCAAATCAAAAGTAAAATAACTTTTTCAGAAATCAACAACGAACAAAGCGAATCCGAGCAACGTAACTAACAGGGATTTTGGGGGAGACGCGGTCACTGAGCCTTCGCCATCCTCATCCAACACTGCGATAATACGGGCGGGTGCGCCACTCCCATCCTCAATCGTTATTGGGAGTGAGTACACCGTAGCTCCTGTGTTCGGCAGTTTATCCACGTTAGCCACGTTCTCAAGTCCGTAGATGTTAGCTCCCAACAAAATCTGATGGGTCATAAATTGGGTGGATTGTCCATAGTCAATGGATGGTGTGTCGATCCCAAGACCCGCAATCTTACGATTGCCAACCAACCAGCTGGCTGCTTCAGGCGCCACGCCAGGGAAGTGAAGCACAGATTCATTGCGCTCATTCAGATAGGTGTCGTTTCGTGCGGATCCAAAGTAGGCCAGGCGATCCGGGTAGAAAGCACCCCAACCGGTGTAGACGAAGAGCAAGGAGTCGACTGGAATCTCTCCATGGGCCGCTTCCCAGTCGTGCAGATCCTGGGATGTCATTTCATAATCCCTGTTTGCCTTAGCTTTGTCGGTTATGTCGATTCGAATGGCCGGGCCTACCAACTTGTTGACTGGTATATCGTCCACGCGTTGCTTGCCTTCGGAGAAGTGGGACGGGGCGTCAATGTGAGTCCCGCCATGTTCTGGGCTTGAGAATGCGTTGGCCTCGTACCTTTAAAACACACACAATTTGAATTGTTTTCGTCATGAATAGCTCTTTCAAAAGTTACAGTGAGTATGGTTGAAGGTTTGCATGATGGGCGCGCACAATTACGAACAGGTTTTATGAGTGCACCATGCCAGTGACTTTCTCTAAATAGGAGAGGTGATTGTGAGAACAAGACGTGTTAACTCGACGTTCCGATCAATATTAAAGCCCTGCCCGTCGTCACTGCTCCTTTTTTCAAAAGAGAAATTCATTTCCCATACAAAGGAAGCTCGTTCTTGCCAGGTTTAAAACTGAATTTTGGGGTTTTGTAATTGCGAAATAAAGGCAATTGTAAAAATATATATATAGTTTTGCGAAATAACGCAATTATAGTGTTGCTAAATGACACAAAAGTATTGTATTATTTCGCAAAAGTATTGCCTTATTTTCGCAATTTATGCAACATAATTTTATAGCACAGTGTGAAACATTCGCTGTGTATTTTTCTGGAGTGGTACAGGCCTATTTTCGTTAATTGTGCACGAATTCTAAGCGCGAATACCTGACGTACAAACCGTCAATTCGTGTTTGGATTGACTTTTCATTTCGGCGTGAGGTCCGCGTAATTGACAATTGAAAGTGATTTTATTTTAATGTATGTATTTGTTATTTTATTTGTTTATTTCTTTTTGGTGAAACAACTTCTCGAAGACGATCGCAGGGACAGAGTACAATTTTCAGCCTTTTGACCTGTACCTGTATGTATACCATGGTAATAATTGGTAAAGAAAAAAAAATCAGTGGATAAGTTCGTTTCCTGTCGATAATATATAAAAAAACTACACAAAATTCTGCCAGCCTTCATTCAATACAAACGATTCAGCAATCGTAATGTTTTAAGTCACATACTGAACGAGCAATACTTACCAAGGTAGTACACCCGATGGTCCACGTACCCTTATGTCCAATTCGAAAGATGCTTCGCCCGGCCAATACAAGGTGGATTCACCAAACGGATAGGACATGTCCAGGATTTCACCCTTATCCAGAGCTGACGTCATCATGACGTGTAGGATAAGGACTGAAACTAACACTTGAGCTCGTAGGGACATATCGGTAGCGGGAGGAGTCGCTTTTAACCTGTATGAGCAGATCAGACAAACAGCGATGTATATTGTATAGAATTTCAGTTAATTCATATTTCTCTAACTCCTGACAAATTTTCAAAGAGTGTTTTATTTTAACTGTTATTTCGAGTTTTTATTTATTACTTATTATTTATTTATTTATTTCTTATTTTAACTGGGTAGCCCATTCAGTGGAATCCACTGATCTCCCATGGGTCCCAATAAAGAGAAGACAATGTGAAGAAATTACAGTTTTAGAGGTGAAGGAAAAGCCCAGAAGAGTATTCTGAGGAAAACCCACGGAATAAGGCAGGGACTAAAACAAAATCCACATATTGATCCAGGCGGGATTCGATCCCGGGTCACAGCGGTGGAAGGCGAGGAAAGTACCACTACGCCAACCTGACTCCCATGAGTTGTTTCTGCTATTGCTCCTGGCTCCAACTTTATTGATTTGGAGGCAGTGAACATTTTTTTGTTCAGGTAAAACAACATGCTGAGCATTTAAATAATGAGCATCATCTAATACGGACGAATATAAAGTTGGCAGTTCCTCGATCCGCCCCTGAGATGCTGCCACGGACAGCTGTTCAAGTAAAATAATGTGAACAAAAGAATCCATCAATTTCGGATTCAAAGATTTATACACCCTGTTTTATCCCCCTTGTTCTGCTTAATGTTACGTTAAGTAGAACAAAGCTTTAAAGTGAATTCATTATCGGGTCATGCAGTTCTTCTTTGTGTTTTTGAGCATGCAGTCACTTGTAGTCGATTATCCACTGTCAACTCATTTATAATTGCTGTGACGTTAGCTAATTTTGTAACTGGGAAATGATTCCCGACTTTTAAGCCCGCTGGAACAACCTTTTGCAAGGGGGTGCTGGAATGTCTAAATAAGGACAAAGAAGCGCAGAGCTCTGTACTGAACAGTCGAGAACCCTGTATTCATATCTCCATTTTGTGTTCAATTTAATTCTGGAAAAGGAATTGTAACGTCGACCGGATCCTGGGTTTTCACAGGCCAGAAGAAGGAAACCAAACCTGGACGTTGTTATTGTTTGTACGCGATAGCCCGCCGCGCCGCCGTGATAACCGGCCGCCGCGCGAGCCTGCGCTATCACGACCAACCAATATCGCCCACGAGCCCGTCAGAACAACCTCTGGATCACTTGCTATTGGTTCCACTGGAAACGAAGTAATTTCTGTTCATAGCAAAAATATATTCCCAGCTTAACTGGCCAATAAAAAAGTTATTTTACTCAAACGATGTAGCTCTAGTTACATTTGCGGTGTTAGGCCTATTTGCTTGATACAGGGTTTGGCAAATATAAAAGACTAAGGCCAAAAAAAAAGTCTCCGGTTTCTGGTATGGAGCTTGCCCAAAAACTGGTGCAGCGACGCGGCATTTTGGGTTTTTTTACCTGATTTTTTTGCTTCAAATGTCGGCTGATGACTGCAAATGGTGCCCGACTAAACTTAGTGCAAATATACGGGAGTCCAGAGAGGCCACATAATATAAAGCTTATTCTCGACCATAACCCAATCTAAAAACACGTTAAAATTGTGCAGCAGCAGGATTCCAGTCAAACCAGTGAGTTTGGCGGTCTTGAGACATCATCTTTCATTGAAAAAAACAACTTTTCATTTTGCCGACGCGCATGGCTACGGCGACGCGCGCGCATACCAGAAACCGGAGACTTTTTTTTTTGGCCTTAAGGACCAAAGGCATCTTTATGATCGGTACATGGCGAGTCTAGGCTATTTCATCAGTCTAGTATTCATGAGGAAACACTTGCAGAGGGTAAAGCATGAATAGCTTTTTTACTAAAACAGTAAAAGGCAATTTGTGATATCGATGGTGTATGTTTATATATATTCATCAGGGTTTATTCAAACTCAAAACAAACTCAAAACCAAATGCATGTTCCAAATGTATTTATCAAGAAGAATTAGGTATGGAAGCCCTTTGAAATTGGACGGAGGGGATGAGATGCAGTAAAGGTTTGGATTAGGATGCGAATTCCATGGTGAATATCCAGTGAATAAAAGTACAGTCTTGATTTTAAATTCAGGAATCAAGAAAGAAAATGTAGCACACACCGCTGCGTGGCTCACAGCACAGAGGATGCCCAGTACATGTATTTGAGACACATTTGGTTTACAAATTCCTATTCATTGAGAAAAAAAAGGCATCCTAGTTCCCACTAGCTCTAGCAGTCTGTTTTTGAGTCGCCGTAAGACTTAAGGTTTTCAAAAACCACTGATGTCATTTTCGAGAATTCCAATTTCCCACTCACAAGTCTATATAAAAGGACGGATTTGACTGATCCGTATCGGGTATCTAACGGCCTGTGCTACGTTAGCCGCGGCAACGCTAAACAAACAAAAAAACAAGACAAAACGGAAGGAGATATATTTAGAGCAAACAAAATGGGGCGGCGCAATTTAATCGTAGTTGAACACTGGCTGTTGGCTGGAACACATTTTTGCCCGGGAGTAAGAGGTGCTGCATTCACCACAACACCCCTCGTTCCCGCGGGCTTGACTAGGCCTAGTAGCCCTACCCTACATGTATAGGCCCACCCTCCATCTATGAGAATGAGCTCATCCAGAACAACCTCCGGCAAAATTGTCTGAACTAAATTATGTTATGACTGCTCGTACCATGTCCTTGTTTTAGATCGTGTGGAATAAACTGGAACTTGACCAACCTATATGCGTGTTCTAGAATGTTAATGTCACCTACCTGTAATCAACTGTGGTACGGACGTCGTTCAATTCACTGATTAGGTCAAACCCTATCATTGGATTCAATGCGTACGTACGTACGTACTGGAATAACCACATACCATTATATGTTCATGTGTTATAAAGTTCAAGGGCATTGTCTAGTAATTTGATGCCACTTCCCACAGACCCGTGTGTTATTTCCTGCCGTAGCCAACTACGTCGGACGCGAACTTTAGTCATTCTGTAATAGGCTGAAAAGGGTGAGCTAGCCTTTGTGTGTACGCAGCCTGTATTTGTTAAGTGCGTGAACGTGGGCAGTTTCGTTACAAATAGACTCCACTCAAGTCAAGCCGTGTTCCGTGTTTGATCTGTTCTAAGTAAATAACGTGCATCATCATGTGACAGTTTCGTCCAACAATTTGAAAATAACAGAGTTCACAACGCTTATTTTAATGGTCTCATACTTTTCTGGATAGCGACCAGTTATCGTATTTGAAGAAACAGTGTCTTTCGAAGGCGTAGCAAGGGACCTGTAAAAAAAATGCTGCACAATGTTGTAAAGTACACTAGCTCAACCAAAAAAGAAAGTCCCCCCCCCCCTTAATACTTTTTTGTCTAACTCAAGAACTACTGGGCACATCTTGCTCAAATTACGACTGATCAGTACAAAATTCCTTAGCAATCCAGCCGTACTCTTTGTTTGGCCCAAAACAGTGATAATGTGTACCAAAGTATGCAATTTATGACAAATGGTACCGAGAAAAAAGTTGCACTTTTGTATCCATGCGAGGTGAGTGTGAACCACAACTTGCACGAATACAAAAGCGCAACTGTTTTCGGTACCATTTGTCATAAAATACATGAATTCGTACACATTATCACTGTTTTGGACAAAATAAAGAGTATGGCTGGATTGCTAAGGAATTTCTGTACTGATTATGTAGTTGTTATTTGAGCGAAATGTGCTCAGTCAAAAAAGTATTGGAAGGGGGTACTTTCTTTTTTGGTTGGGTGTATGTTTGTGTTATAAGTGTCCGAACGCCCTATGCATTCGCGAATCAATGAGCAGTAAACGAAGTAACTGCGTCTTGCAGCGAATACAACCTCACAAGCTCTGCGCACTTCATTACATTAGCTGCTAACTCGCTCCCAGGGTTTCCTGTCAACCTCATTCTCAAGGTTTCCTTTCAACCTAAAGACAATAGAAGACTCTGGTAGAGAAAAGTTGCTTCCCTTTAAACAGATTCGATCCCGCAGTAGCAGGTCAACGATGAATATCTAGTAGTCGGTGATTTTATCCCCAACGTGGTTTGATAATTACGTGTTTTAAAGTTCATTTTAATTTAATCTTCCTCCAAAACAACCGCCTCTTTTCGTTTTGCTTATAATATGATCATATTTCGTGCAATACCGGTACTGCATATTGGATGGGAATGATTTACTGACAATTTTGAGAAAAAAAATTATGTGTATTCCAATCTCGCGCTTATTGATTCCGTTTGTAACCTGGACACGCCAACAATAACAAAACAAAATTTGTGCGTTTAATTGCGTCATGGCTCATGTCGGCAAAGACGTGAATTACAACGAACAGCCCAAGCAAGCGTTAGGTGGCGTCCAGACCCGTTTGCCTTGACCAGCTGCAAGCCCAGGTGTCAGTTAATGTTCAGAGTGTAAATAAAAAAAAAATCTAGCGACGTGGTCGGCTGAATGCTGGCACTTAAGTTAGTTTAAATATTGTTGCGTTCCCGCAAATTGCGTAATGCTTGCAGCGATCCTGTGTGCCCTTACACAGCGCGAAGCTTACCACGAAGTCTTACACACGCCCAAGCAGCTTGCAGCACATTGTACAATACGCTATTGTATAGCGCGCAATGCATGTAGCACTCACTGCTATTGAACTTGTACCGCCATTGGACATGCACTAAGGACTTAGCCATTTTCCCTCCACCTTTCCCCGGAGTCGGTGCGAATCCCCCTCACACACCTTAGGGGCCATTCAGAATTGTCAATGTTTTAAAATTTCGACTTTTTTTCCAAATTATTTTGACCCACCCACCCACCCCTAATTTCGATTAATAAAAAACTGAACATGTACATGTACATGCACTTGCATGTACATATACTTGAACATGAACATGTATACCCATGTACATGTGTGTCTAGTTCAGTGACGGCGTGAAGTAGTCTGATTCCCAGACCAAAAGATTCCCACTATTCCTGATGAATCTTAGGTCCGGTAGCCTCCGGTAATACAATGTATTACAATTTACGTCACGTGACTAAAAAGGGAGGAATTCCTCCTTTTTCCGAAAATTTCCGAAGTTTGCCGAAGTTGTTTCGTCGACAATCGGATAGCGCCCGAGTATTTCCGAGTATATAATATAGGTTTAATTAACTGCTAAGTGCTTATTAATTTTATTTTAAATGAGTTGATAATTAATATTCATTGTTTTCATATAGAAAACTTGAAATTCAACGACGATTTTGTGCATCAAATATACTCGGAACCTCCCGGCGAACTTTTTGCTGCGTCATGTACAATTTTGAATTTGACGACCGTTACCGAGATTTTCCAAAACTCGGTCTTCATTCGGCTCCGCCTGCATACAGTGCTATTTGGTTCCCTAATTTTGAAGATTCCAGATCAACATTACTCAATGTTATCTTACAAAAACATCAAACTGTATTATCATAACTGTATGATATTAGGGAAGCAAGTGATTTATTTAAAGATTAGATCAGAACATTAAAAGCTACAAGTGATAAAGCGAAATCGGAAACGAAGCCGCGCTTTGAAAAAGGGCCATTAATGTCGTCATGTTTATTTTTAGCCACGGAGGCTGCCTGACCTACAATTTCAGACGTGAGCGTCGGGAATAATTGTCAGGTCTGGGAACCAGACTAGGCGTGAAGTTGTCGGTCTTCCTCTTTTGCACTGGTGACCTTTCCTGTGTTTTGCCAGCTGATATGCTGTTGGGAATGACAGGTTGCAGTTTTGAAAGCCACAAAGATGACCGTGGTTTTGTCGTTTTCTGGATGAGGTGGATGACATGTGACATACGAGGTTGTGCCTGTCACGTGAGGTAGCTGGGAAAAAAGATATTTGCTCGTACCCCCCCCCCCCCGCCCTGTTTGCAGGGCGGGGGGTACGAGCGAAAGAAAAACATCAGGTTTAGGCAGACATCACATCACAGGCTGCGGTCCTCGTAGTCTTGGAGTCCAGTGGTTGAATAGTCGAGTTTTTATAGCGATTGGTAATCGACGCCCGCGGCGTGTTATAGAGCCGATCTAGTACACCTGGTACCCTGCTGCCTCTGCACGGCCTAACCGCTACAAACGCCCGGCGTCCAAGTCTACTGAAAAACCACCTCCCTCTCATGCCACAGTGGGTATATATACACGTACATGATGTACATGTACAGTACATACAGGGGACGAAGTTGGAAAAGAAACACGCATCGCGATATCGGAACGCTTGCGCGTAGTTCAGGCAAGTCAAAAGATCTATCTTTCTTTGTTTTTTTTTTAATCTTTTTTCCATGCAAAGTGAATTTCGATTTTCAATTATTTAGCTTGACCCACCCACCCACAATTTGGAAAAAAGATCGAAATTTTAAAACATTGAAAATTCTGAATGGCCCCTTACCCCTGCATCCAACCCACCTTGACCCCGAGCATTTAGCGAATGTGGCTCGCTAAAACCTACCCGTGTATTGACCCCTCAGTGACCCCGTACACTCCAGCGAGTGTGTCGAGACCTACGGTAGCTAGAGGTCAGGTTACGTCCTTTGTCTCATAGTTTTACTCCATAGCATTAGTGTGTAGATTCTTACCTAGTCTAGAGACTTTAGTTTTGTACACAAGCCTATTCCCTTTCCCTTTTCCTTGAGGATCAGTTCCCCGTAAGCGTAATTTTTTTTCCTAGGAAGGTTAGGGGCAATGTCATGAATAATTCAGTTTTTCCTTTGAATCATTGCAAGACTTAGGTTCTCGTTCTATTTTCCCCTTAATTTAAAATTATCTCAGTGATAAATTTGGAGAAGAAAAATAGCTGATGAAAATGAGCAGCGACGACGTGGATTCGAACCGGGGATCTTTGTATCCATAAGCTCATCTCGCTATCCACTAGGCTACTGTGTGGTAGCTCGACGACAACCGTTCTTTAAAATGCTTTAATGTATTGTAACTAGTTGAGTAACTAACAACAATGCTGTTGATGTCATTGTCCGTTCTCATTGATAAACATAATTTTCCCATCGAAACTACTGAATTATTCATGACATTGCCCCTATAACCCTCCTAGGAATAAAAATTACGCTCCCCGTAAGGCACCCACGAGTACGGAAGCTTGAATTGCCTTCCGCGATACCGCGTTACCGCGATAATTTATCACAGAAATCCGGAAATCAAAGATAATTCCTTCCGCGATACCGCGTTACTGCGATAATTTATCACAGAAATCCAGAAATCAAAGATAAATCATTCAACGATACCGCGTTACTGCGATAATTTATCACAGAAATCCAGAAATCAGAGATAATTCCTTCCGCGATACCGCGTTACTGTGATAATTTATCACAGAAATCCAGAAATCAAAGATACGTATTCTTCGATACCGCGTTACTGTGATAATTTATCACAGAAATCCAGAAATCAAAGATACCTATTCCGCGATACCGCGTTACCGTGATAATTTATCACAGAAATCAGGAATTCAGAGATAATTCCTTCCGCGATAACGCGTTACTGCGATAATTTATCACAGAAATCCAGAAATCAGAGGTAATTCCTTCCGCGATACCGCGTTACTGTGATAATTTATCACAGAAATCCAGAAATCAAAGATACCTATTCCGCGATACCGCGTTACCGTGATAATTTATCACAGAAATCAATCCTTTGAATCATTGCAAGACTTAGGTTCTCGTTCTATTTTCCCCTTAATTTAAAATTATCTCAGTGATAAATTTGGAGAAGAAAAATAGCTGATGAAAATGAGCAGCGACGACGTGGATTCGAACCGGGGATCTTTGTATCCATAAGCTCATCTCGCTATCCACTAGGCTACTGTGTGGTAGCTCGACGACAA